CAGCCGCCGCCGCCGCCGCCGCCGCCCCCCCTCTACTCGCGCCGGCGTTGGCCCTTCCCGTTTGCTTTGCCTTGCCTCGCCCGCGACTGCCGCCCCCGCTGCCGCCGCCTCCGCTCCCGCAGCTCGCCGAAGGAAGACCGGCTTCTCCCGTGGATGCCCGCGCCCGCGCCCGCGCTCGCTCGCGCGCAGCCTTGCCCGCGGCCCCCGACTTTGGTGGCGGCTTGTCCCGGTACTTGGATGGGACTGGCAAGGGGCGAAGGGGAAGAGGGATATTTGAGGGGTGGGGTGACCAACAGACGTGACCAGGGCATAAAGGATGAGAGAGACACCACTTGCATTGTTTGTATGTAAGTCAGTCGTTATTTCGAGCCACCTCCAACAGCAGTCGTGGCGCGTTCGGGAGCCCGTTTTCAAGAGTCTCTACGACAACTGCGTCCGAACCGCAACTCCTTTACAACTCTACGACACCGTGGCAGCGCGGGGCACCGCCGTACCTCGCGCGCCAACAGCAAAAAACAACGGAAAAGACTGACCTGGCGCGTGCTGCGTGAGGCTAACCCCGACGTCGTTGATAGAGTTCTTTAGCTTGTCGACCATGTGCACGATCCACTTGTTTCGCCCCTGGAGCATCCGCAGGTTGGGGATGGGGGTCATGCACTGAGGGCACCGCTGGCTCTCCTTGAAGCACTGCGAAGCGCAGCCTCGGCACAGGGGGTGGTTGCACGGCAGCATCACGGGGTCTTCTAGGATGCTGGGTGTTCGAGAAACCGGGGGGGGGGGCGGGGAGAGGTCCGAACGAACGAGGGCAAACAGGCACTTAGAGCTTCTGCTGCTGCTGCTGCTGTGCCGTGTGCTGACGGTGGTGCATGGTGTCGTTACAAGCATACTCGCGCCTGTGGCAACCATAACACAGACCCCAACAACAGCAGCTTGTAAGATACCGCGGTGGCCGCCTTGCGTTGGTGCTCTGCTGCTTCTACTGCTGTTCCTTCTACTGCCGACTTGTTGTGTTCGCCAAATGCACGGAGGTGGTTTGGATCTGAAGGATTTGATGTGAGTGTGTGTGTGGATGCTCCAGAGTGTTGGACTGGGTTCTGTATCTCTTGGTGTGTGTGTATCATTTTGCCATACGTGCTGTTTGCGCGAGGCGAGCCCCTGGTTTTACCGCATCACGCCGTCCTGCGTGTGGCAAGCTTTTGGGTGGTAATCCGTTATTTTTTTTTCGATATGACACAACGAATCCATCTCTCTCCATGGAAAAGAGTCTACGATAGAGTAGCAATGAATTCATAGCGTCAGCAGAAGCCACCTGTATTTCAACGGTTTCCTGAGCAGCACACAGCGATACCTCCACTGTGGGTAAATTTTGCAAGCATTGCTGCTTTGCAAGCATTGCTGCAGGCGATGTACACAGCTGTGTACCACGTGTAAGACCGTAGGTCGCAGAAGAGATACCACACCACCTGGAACGAATTTCAAGGCTCGACTCCTCCGCCATGAAAAGGAAAATAATATGATCAAATCGTGCGTTCCCGGAAGCTCTCGACGAGACGGTTCCAACACCACCATTGGACACCATCACTGCTGCTTTGGTGCAGAGTGCAGAGAAGTCGGGTTTTGAAAATCGGTCCCTGGGGGGGTGGTATCTTACGTCATGCAACCTCCAGGACACATGTACGTGGGGGTTCTCACTTGGGGGGTTCTCACTGTCTTGGCGTAGGTACACAGGTTTCGCCCTGCCGTCCGGTTGTACTTCTGGTTGTACTTCTGTGGATGCAAGTAGGACATTAACGCTACCCTGCTCCTTTGGTCAGTGGTACCCCATTGGGCGTTGTCAAGTGATAATGGGTATCACCGCGCTGCCGGGTACGATCGATGCAGTGGATGCAACGAAAACAACCAGACCAAAAGTGTGTTTCAGCCTTGCTTGCAACTGCAGAAAAATCGATTATTGTCTTCGCAAGAATGAGCAATTAGCCCTGGCTAAACCATGCGCAGTCCGGTGTGAGCGAGAAGCAATGGGCGTTATCTTTCAAAGCACAAGTGGTGGGCCAAGTAGTGTGTGGAGAGCGAAAGAGCCAACTGACCTGAAACAAATGCAGCACTTGAAGTGCTTGCCAGCCGTTTCCTTCACGATCTCGATGAAATCTGCAACCGAGCCTATACTCTCGGGCGCCTGTCTCGCAATTTTCCCCGCGCCTGGCCCAGCAAGGCCATCCACATCGGCCATGGCCTGCTCTCTGCTGTCACCTGACTGGCTGTAGGTTATGTGTGTGCCGGCCGATCCGAACGAATTCGCTGCCCCCCAACGAGGATATTTTCAAATTTGTTTGCCCCCCCCCCTCCACTAAACGCTAGTTGCGTACCCCCCGCGAGGGGGGAGAGGTTCCGTGCGCACGCCAGCGCCAGACACAGCATTGGAGCAAGAGCGAGAGGGATAGAGAAAGGGAAAGGCCAAGCGCATATTTCTAGTGGGCTCATCGATTTGTGGGATTCTCTTCTGACAAGAGAAAGCGCTGTCTTTCTCTCTGCCTGCAGGAAAAAGCCCAACCGTCACTTATATCCTGGACTGTAGGAAGACAGCGCGACAGCGCGAGCAGCAGAAAGAGCAAGCCGTGGTACACCGAGGGCAGAGGGCAGGAGCTTGTTAGCAGGGAAGGGGCGCACGCGCGCGAGAGAGAGGAGCCCGAAAGGAGAGGTGGTTCGGCTCGGTCCAAGATGGACCAGTCTACCGTGGCTGCAGCGGGTGCGGCCTTGGTGGCGTCGGTCGGGAACATGACGACGTCCGCGACGAACAAGCTGCAGGATGTCTCTCGGAAGGTCGCGCTGGCAAGGTTGCTGGACGACAAGAGCAGCAGCAGCACCACCACCACCACCAACAGCGACAAAGCCGTCGACGGCAAGGAAAACAGCTGCGTTAACAGCACTGCAAGCCGAGATCTCGCGGGCAGGAAAGTATTCTCGGAACGCGACAACAGCAACAACAACAACAACAACAACACCGCCAGAGGAGCAGGCCACACGAGTCACGGCGACCTCGAGGCCTTGCGAGACCTACGCGACATCAGCTCCATCGTGTCCGAAGTCGAGCGGAGGGCGGCGGCGTTGCGCGAAGCCATCGACGCCCACCGTCGAGACAACGAGGCTCGTCGCGCCATGTCCGACGCGACTCGGCAGCAGACCGCGCAGCTGGCCGCCACCTTGTCGGCCCTCCCCGAACACCTCCCGCATGCCGCGGAGGAGGCGCCCGCCGCGTGGGAGGCTGCTGCGATGGCCAACACGGCTGCTACTGCTGATGCTGCTGCTGCTGCTGCTGTGTCGACGGTCCCTCCTGCGCGTTCGGGTGGCGGCACCCGAAGAGCAGCAGCCAAAGCGGCAGAGCCAGCGGGCGGTGGGCGAGACGGCGAGCCGAACGTCGCCGCCGGGCGCACGGTGATGCCCGAGGTTGTTCCGGTAGAGCTGGTGACGGTGGGGGAGCTGGACGGTGTGCCGAGGTCCACGCGGGGGCGGTTGACGATCGAGCAGGTTAACGCGGCGGTTACGGACATCCAGAAGGCGATAGAGAGAAGGTACATACTACAACGCTGACGACGCGGGCTATATGAGCCTTTCCATGCATGGCTGACAAGGTTACGTACGGTGTAGATCCCGTACGACGAACTTCACGACGGCGCATGCATACATGCACTGCTTGAAGGTTGCCTGAAAGCTAAGGGTGCATGCCGGTCTCCTCCTCGCGCCCGCTCTACGTCGTACTCGTGCAGGCATGCCTTTCTCTCCAAACCTCGGAAGAAAATGTCGGAGAAGCAGCGAGGGCGCCTGGAAGAGCTGCTGGGGCAGGAGGTGCCGGCGCACGGAGGGCGGCCGTTCATCGCGGAGCCGGATCTGAGAGCGCTCCCGTCCTTCAAGAAAGGAGAGGTGAGGTGCTGTGGCCGGGCGCTCGTGCGCCGGCGGAGGCACCCTCGGTGCGCTTGAGAACCAACATGAACGGCACTCTGTCATAACACTCGCGTAGTCAGCAAAGCATACAGCACCTCACCAATGACGCTGCTTCTTAACCTCGCCAATTTCGCCCATCATCATGTGGCACAGGTCCTCCACCTCCGCCGCCCCGCCCCCCAAGATACATAGTCCAATCGTTTGGCTTCTGTACAGCCGAGTGCCCGTTTGAAGAAGGGCCCAAGCGCTCATGTTCTGAAAGAGGACTGTCGCCATACAGAATCTCGGTCCTGCCTCGGATTAACAAATACTGCTGTGCGTTCGCCGACATCCTCATGCGGTGACCGGACAACGATCACCGTTTCGTATGCTACACTGCCAAGCATGCTGTGGCTACATGAATGACAACGTTTCATCCATTCGCGTGGGTTGAAGACCCTGCAAGCTTGGAGGCATTTGAGGAAACCTTTCGTGTCTTTTTGCGGGCGGGGGGGGTCGCTGCTCCGAGACCCCAAGTTTGACCAAGCGCAGACTTGACTTGAACACAGAGTACGCAACGAGGGTCTGACTTCGTGACAACTTTTGTGGTCCTCGCAGTGTGCCCACACCCTACCCCTCATTACGTCACCCCCGCCGTCTTGTCCGAAACGCATCGTTGCCGCCTGTTGCGAGACAGATGACAGCCAAGGCGCTCATCGCGACGCTGCGAAATCTGAAGCGCTTGAAGGGGGTACGCGGAGCGGGCATGATGACGTACGTTGTGTAGGCGGGGGGGGGTATGGACGACACGACCACCGGCGATCACCCAAGGATGAAGAGGCAACGTTGGCACGAGTGCGGGTACACCGGGTGAATGACGTCGGCTACCGACCAACCTGCTGGTTATCGCTTCTTTGTCTAGGAGTCTTCAATATTAATTGCTGTTTTTGTCCCGTTTTGCGGCAGGGAATACTGAGCACAAGAGGCAAAGCGATAAAAAAAGAAGGCCGAGAGAGGTGGGGGGGAGGGGCAGGCAGACAGAGCGGTGCGTGGGGCCAGCCGAATGAATTCGTCAAAAACGTTGTGGCTCACACAGCGAATCGAATCGTAGCTCTCTCTTTCGGTTTTTGATGTTCACCAAATGCGACGGTGGCGACGACAGCCGCACAATATTTGCACGACCACCTCGTCGAGGCGGACGATTGAACCAATTATCGTTGCAGGTGGCGGTGGTCAAAGTGGGCGACAAAACGTCATGAATTCTAGTGGGAAAGGCTTCGCGAACAGCAGTTCTTGTACTGCTGTTGTTGTAGGCGTCTCGCACGGTCAGGGGAGATGAGGAGCAAATGCGTAGCAGAGGTGCAACGAAAAACACAGGAGGCGGGCCTGCCCAACTCATCAGGACGGGACGACATGCTATTAACATTTTCGTAGATTCGCTCGGGCCCACAGATAGGCTGCAAAATGGTCGGTTGAGAGCTACACTTTGTCGACGAGAAAAGCAACAAGACAACCGTCCCCCTGCCGAAAACGCGTTCGGCAACACAGCTAACTAACGATGGACGCAACGACAGCGGAGTGAACAACAACAGACCGGTGATCCCTCAGCACGCATCCGGCAGCAGCGGATGCTGCGGCCCGCCAAAAGTGGCCCTCAACTCCCGCTCCTGTCCTGGAAACCGTAACACGGGGGGGCAGTTAAAGACTCTACAGACTGCGCACGACTGACACCAAGTCTACGCTCGATCAAGCACGCACAAGACGGATTCGCGAGCGAGTCTGAGCGATGCCTACATGAACGCCAGCACCCAAGCTCTCGCCCCAAGTCTCTCCCCTGCCACAAGCAAAAAGCAACCAGTCACGCAGTAAAACGCCACACGGCTGAGCAAATGTGGGTGAGCGCCCGCCGCACTGTTGTGCAGCAAAGAGACGGATCATGTTGCTCATGCTGCCAAGGTCCGAGGGAAAACGGGAGGGAGGGTAGAGGAATAAAGGCCCAAAAGACCATACAATACAGGCAACGAAATGTTAACCTTTCTATTCTGTGCCGTCCTGCAACGGTTGATTGACTACACCCGATCAGGGCTACTGCTACACCCTCCGTTGCCGCACCCGCCCGGCCGTCTTGCTCACAGGTTGATTGAACAACACGCAAGAGTTGCAGCAACCACCCTGGCCACATGTGCGCCTTGTTTCCGACCAACCAACTGGTTGAACGCCAGCACCTACTGCACTGACCAAGACCCCGCCAACAACTACGTTGATCGTGTACTGTCTACTGTTCTGTACAATTAAAATCAATCACGTCTCTGTGGAGCGGTAGTGATCGTCGTCGATCGTTGAGTACAGGTGGCCCTCCGAAGAAAGGAACTGTACCGCGGTCCTGCAACATAAAAAAGACACAAGACACAGAGGACAAGCGGGGAATGGGGAGTTAGGGGAGGGGCGGTTGAGTAGGTTGCCGAATTTTGGAGTTCTCGTTGATTGCGATTCAATCACAACATCATGAATAGCCTTACCACCACAGGTTGGGCTAGATCTGTGGCATGTGGGTGAAAACACGTGCAGGAGTTGATGCAAGGACGCTAGACTATAGGGTACTGTACGGTTAGGGTCGGGGATTAAAGCTGCATTTCCTTTTCCCCTCACAGCTGCTGTGTTTGGCGCGGAGAGCGCCACCCTTATGGCTCTTTGAAACAACACCGAAAACAACACGGACGGTACGTACCATGTGCATGTGGGTTTCACCTCAAGCAAAGAGTGCGTGCTGTATCTTGAGAGTGGCACAAGCCTAGCTACGTAGCTTCCAGACGGTCTTGATTGGACAACAATAATAGCGCCGAAAGGGCGGTCGTTACAGGTTGATATACGATACCTTGTGTAACACGTGGTTGGCCCAAAAGGAATGCCGGCTGCATCAAAAGAAGGGCAAATCAACTCCCAAGTTCTGGTAGATGGTACAGGCAAAGGACACAAACACACACACGCATACATTCGGGGACCTCGAGCGCGTGCTTGAACTAAAAATGTTGGCGTAAATGTTTGTGGTCTTTCGTCCCGGAAAAGGCGGATAGTTCTCGAGGATATTGGCCAGCTCTAAACTAAGCCACACGCCTGACCGAACATACACTGCTAAGGTGTACAGCATATCCACTATGGTACAAGTCAGCCCTGAACTTAAGCGCTGACTTGTAGCATAGTGGATATGCTGTACACCTCATACACCTTCGAGCAAAAGACGTGTCTGCAGCAGAAGCAAACATACGTGGGTGTAGCGGGAGACCAAGCGCGAGAGGAAGGAAACAGGACTCGACAACCACAGGCAGGCGGGGCAGTAAACAGCTGTTTGCTTGCTGGAGACGCTCCCCGGTGCTCAATCATGCGGAAACAAACACGCCTCGTAAAAAGTAAGCCTAAAAATAGATACCACGCTCGAGGAGAGACAAATAGCTACTTCGTACATACATGAGAAGAGGGCATGCCCCCCCCCCCCCAACGAAATTAACGACTTACGAGACGTCCGTCCTCGAGATCCCTTCCCGAGTGAGCGAATCGGCAACTTCGGCGATGCTCCTGCCTTGCTCCTCATCCGCTCCCAAGAACTGGTCGTGAACCTGCACGACCCATTGATTGATTCATTGATTGGTCGATTCACGTTTGGTTGTTTCTCGTCACCTTGTCTCTTTTCCTTCTTCCCCCCTACCCTCGCGTTTCTGTTTTATTTCATTTCCCGTCAAGCAACCAACGTCACAAGAGGCACAAGGGTGCTTATTTCACCCCTTGTTCCTCGTCATGTTGTCTCTTTTCCTCCTTCCCCCTTCCCCGCTTCTGCTTGTTTTTACTTCCCATCAGGCAACCAACGTTACAAAAACACACAAGCGAAATTAATGGGTGATGTTGATTACTGCTCAAGAAGAAACCTGGACCCATCTTTTCAGTCAGTTCTATCATAGCGATCCGATCGTGCTTTCTTTGGCTAGGCGGTGCGGGCGATCGGGTGCTCATCCCCAAAAAAGAAAGAAAAACATGTACACGAGCGCGTGAGGCACACAAGAAGCAGACAAAGGCAGACGACCGCCAACAAACGGTGTAGTGCCCAATGCAAGAAGCAGGGGATTTCAATCTTGTAGGGGCTCATCAAGCTGCGGCACCGGTAGGAACCGCCAATGCTGTAATTGGCCACTTTCTTACATGAACGGGAAAGTAATGCGCTTACGTGCGGGGTGGTTGTTGGAAGACAATATCTACAATAAAATAGAAGGGGTTGAAGGTAGAGTTTCGTGGGCCATGTTCAACAAGGAGGTCATGAAAAACGACCAGAGAAAAATCGACGAAAAGTAGATAGCAACACACCTTTTGTTGGATCGGAGTGAAGCCTTTCGAGCCCTCCGGATCCATGTTGCTGTTGTTGTACATGTTGTTGTTGTTGTTGTTGTTACTGTTGTTCCCTGGGCTGGTGAAGCCATGCTGGCTGCTGCCGCCGTTGAACCCGGGGGAGCCAACGCCCTGCGAAACACAAGCCAAAAGAACCACGAAAAGGCACAGCAATTGCATAAGAGACAAAAAAAAAAACGCGGAGGAAAAAGAGGCAACAATCAGCGAGCCGCCCACGAAACCACGACCAAATATGACTGTATACAGATGAGAAAAATACTTTGGGTTCATTGATGTTCGCTGGGCTATTCGAGTCAAAAACACGTCAGCTTGTGCGATCTGTTCGAGCTTGGGAAACGTCACCGATAGCAGCTGGCAAGTTGATTCACACCAACAAGTGCCTTGATGACAACTTGAACCGCGCCTTGATGGCACTACCTACTACTGCTCTCATGAGCCCACTCCGGAGGCGCGCCTTATATCCATCCCCCTAGAAATACTGATACAACTGATACGAACAACTCACGTTCATTGGCTGAGCCACGCCCGCACCCCCAAACGTGGAAGCCTTGCCCGGCAGGGGGCCCTTGGTGTTGAAGAGGTGTGTGTAGATCGTCTCGAGGGCGTGCAGCGTCACCTCGTCCATGTCGGTGATCGGGGTCATCGTGTACGCCACCGAGTGGCGGTCGTCCTTCCAGGATCTCACCTGCTCGCCCGCCCGCCCGCCCGCCCGTTCATTGTTGTTGTCACATTGTTGTTGTCACGTTGTTGTTACCGTCGTTGTTCTATTAGTTGTATCTCGTTGATGTTATCGTTGTATCGTTTGTCATTGGTATCGTACTATTAATAATAGGAGTATCGTTGTCGATGTTGTTGTCGATTCTGTGGGTGTACAGTAGCTGTTATTTTGGAGGCCGTGTATGCGCACGTGCGCGACACACCAACCGACAGAGAGATCGGGACGATTCAAGAAAGGCGAACAGACAGCACGCGACCATGACAATCATAACGGCGTCTTCCAAATAAATAGCGTCAAGAAAACCGGACAAAGCGAATGGTACGCGAGAGGCTCACATCCATCATCTAAAGGTGTCAACAACACCAACACTGCCTGCATGTTTGCATGGGCGTAAGACTAGACTAAAGCATACGATAACGATGTATCGAATGCAGCCAAGATCACTTCGGGTACGGACCTTGGCCCAACACGCCAGGCGAGGGGGGAAGGGTAACAGAGACAGCGAGACAGAGATAGAAAGACAGACACACAGACACACACACAAAAGAGAGCGGCGGCAGCTCGGACTCACGTTGCCGAAGACCCGCACGTAAGTCCCGACCTGGCAGCGCGCGCGCTTCTCCGCGGCGCGGTCGTTCGCCCCCTCCCCGTCGTTGTGAAACATCTTCACCTGGGACGACGCCATGCGGCAAGCAACAAGAGGCCGAAAACAAAACGAGAGAGAGAGCACAAACAACAAAGTGCCAACAAAGAAGAGCCGATCAGCCCCTTGATTTTGTCTCGGCGACATGCCATACAAATCGGCAGGCATGCGGCACACTCGAAACATGTCATTGGGGAAAGACGTGCGTCGGCGCTGCTGCTGTGTTGCTGCCGCGGAGCGGAACAAACACCGTCGCGTCATTAAGCACGCAAGCACCTCGCAGCCGAAGCGCTCACGGAACAATGCCACTGCATCGCAGCAAGTATGCGGGGCCACATGTCGCCACAAACAACAACATCCACCATAAAACCGCGGGCGAGCGCGTGGACACGTTCGACAGGCCAACTTCCCACGGCATCCAAAAAGGACTGCGTAGTCCGCCCGTCCAGCAGTGCATCGAGTGCCCTGTTTGTTTGGGGGGGGGGAACAAGAAACCATCACAATCACAAGGAAGGCATACAAAAAAAAAAAAGCTCTACGCTGTGATATGATACCTTGAGGCGGCCGGTGGTGTCCTCGACCGTGTACTCCGTGTTGGTCGAGGCCTCGTCCACCTCCACGATACACCCCACCAGCTTGATCTTCCGTCCCGGTTCATTCATCCCGTCCCGGTTTCGATTGGGCCCGTCCCGTTCCGGTTCCGGTTCAGCAGCGCGTGGTAACCCGGCGGCGGCACCAGCGGCAGAAAAAGCGGAGGTGGCGAATGGGGAGTTAGAGGACAATCGGAGGGGCTTGTTTCCGGGATCCCGAGAGAGGGAGGGCGCATGAAAAACAGAGCCGACCTCACCGGCATGTGTGTGAGTAGCGGGTCGGGAAACGGTATCAAGCGGCACAGGGATATAGTTCGGCGAGGAAAACGAGAGAACTGTCTGCTCCTCTTGGACATAAAACACGCAAGACAAAATCTGCATGGACAGCATGATGATGGCATAACCAGGTAATACGTATATAGGAGGCCCGGTGCCGTGCGCGTCGACCCCCCCCCCTCCCACCTGAGACACGTCGGCCCCGTCGATCTTGGCGCCCGAGTCCTGGTTGGCCATCTCCGACTCGAGTACCTTCAGAAAGAGTCAAGAACCAGACGAACAAAACAAAAGAAATGGACATGAGAGTTGTGATGGTGGCGGTTTGGGTCCGTGGCGGGCCGATATTTTTCGCAGGAACGCATGAGCCCCTCGTGGCCAACAGCAACGTTCATTCTTACATTATTACGCTTGCTTTTTGTCTTCCGCTGCTGCTGCAGAAGAAGAAACCCCTGGAAAAGGGTTTTACTCTGCTCTCTCTCTTTCTCTCTTTCTCTCTCTCTCTTTCTCTCTCTCTCTCTCTATCCGTTACAGCAGCAAGCATACAGCGGCGCAAAACGCGCGCGCCCAACAGAGCGCCGTTCGTTCACTGCAGAACTATTTCTCCTGCTTGTCCCAGAGGGCACATGCGTAACCGACGTCACACGACGCCCCACCCCATACCCACAAACACATGCCCCGTTCTATCCGATCTCCTTCGCGACCCCGCTGTCGAGGGTCGGTGTACCGTGCGGGCTATGCATACAAGCGTCCCAACCTAACCATGGGGTGTCTCTCGAGACAATTGACGTCTGCTGCTGATTGGCTAGCCAGATTCATAGCGCGGTCGGTGCTATATTAGTAACAGAAACACAGTATTATATTGGTGGCCAGCCTGTGTGGGGGAACCAGAGGACAAAAAAACGTTTTCGGGAGAGGGGCTTCGACTCCACCAGAGGCAGGTGTTCCTCTGGACAAAACGGTCAAGCGCGCGGTCGATGCATGGATTCAATACAGACGCACGTCGACAAGCACACCTTTCGGGTGAACGGTCGAAGAATTGATTGAAATCAATGACACCGACACACGAAACACACCTGTTTGATGTTGACCGATAGGAGGGACTGCTGCTCCTTGTTTTTCTGACCCCCGCCGCCGCTGCCGCCCCCGCCCCCGCCCGCCGGGCTGTCCGTGCCTCCCCCGCCCATGAAGCCCCCGCCTCCCCCGCCGGGAGACCCGAAGCCGCCGCCACCGCCGCCGCCGCCTTCACACAGACAAATACGCCCACATCAGATAACCGAAACGCGATACGCGAGGTTGTTATCGGTCACTACAAGAAGGGTTGCCAACAGCGGTAACTCTGGCACTCATGTTGAACACAAATGACGGTGGTATCATCCATGATCCATGCGTCGCGATTCCCCTTTCCCCTTCCTTCTTTGCTTGGGCCCCCGTCCACCGGGAAATGGACTCCGGATGGACAAACACCGTTGCCTTGTGCGTGAGTTCCGCGAAACTGCTTTGTATTGCGACGCATCGAAGTAAACTCACACGCTCGCGGTACACGCTTTCCGTTCTCTGAACATGCACGATACATATACTGACAAGTCTCGCTGTCGCCGCTACCTCAGAGAGCAGACACTCGGCATCAAACTTCGATACAACTATTGGCACCGTGCACACGATGCTGACGCTGCTGCAAAAGCTTTTCCTCGGCGTACACGCTGCTGCTGACACAGATCGCATAATGGGGGTGACGAGAGCAAAAAACGCCTCTCTTACTCTGTAGCAAGCCTTCCTCGGGTGCTGCTAGGCAAATGGTAACGAAAAAAAACGCATGAATCAAATCACTTCCATTTGTAGCGTTGATAAACTTTTACTCGCTGATGAGCTCTGAGACTCTGGTCACTCTCGCCCTGGCCCCACGCCACTTTTGTTAGCCGATTCAGCTTGCCTTTGCTTGGTAGTCCGTTTCTCGCTGCCCTGCTTGCCACCTTACTCTATCGACGAGTTATCTGAGGCCGGCGAAAAACTTAATATTACATTCCATGCATACGCTATCCCGACGCGTTTTGTAACGCTTCGATTGTTCCTTCCAGGGTTACAAAGACCAGATTTCACCCCATATCCAACGTCACACCCTTTGCCGACTTGTGTGCAACACAGAGAGACTGAGGGTCACGCTGGAGGAGCGGGGCCGGGGGGGGGGGGCAACACTTGCTTTCCTGTGCTATCGATCACGTGCGTTTCGGTCTGGCACCAACGCACGATCGAACATAACGAAGCCAATACACAACCAGAATCTCGGCGAACTTCAACTACCATGAGAAAGTTGGTCTGCACTACCTCTATGGAAATACAGCAGTAGAGCTCCGTTCACCCATTGGCGCCAAAAACAAGACAAAATCGTCTTTTACGCCTGTACAGCAGTGCAACACCGCATGTTTCGCAACGCCTGTGCGTGCACATCAGTGTTTGTGAATCAAACGCTTGTTCAGTAGACTTTGGCGAGCGGTGGCGGTGCCTCCTCACATCCTGTGGTTAAACATCAGGACGCGTTGCCTGCGAACTCCGTGTCAACGACAACACAACGCCCCCGGTACTGCTGCAGTGAGCCACCCCGCCCCGCCCCTCCCTTGCTTGGGTACAAAAGCACACAAAATTCAAATTCAAAATATCACACACGATCCGCCACACGCCAAAAAGGAGAGAGACAACCCGCTGCGCCCGCGCGCTTGCCATACCGCTGTGAACGCAAGGATTAGGAAACACAGGTCTCGCTCGACAAGCACTACCGCTCTCTCGGCTGTTACACCGGCAGCTTTATCTTCTCACCTCCATCGAAGCCCCCGCCTCCGCCGCCGTACTCGAAGCCACCGTAAGAAGACATGCCGGCCGCGTTGCCCAAAGATATACGACTGCTCTAGCCTCTACAGAATGACCGCACGAACAAATCAGCTCGAGGAAATGAAAGAGACGAGGGTTGAACAGGTGTGTACCGGCTTGGGTTTGATGGTGGCAACACAACAGCGCAAACGTGAGATGATGGGATGGTGGCGGGAACAGCAGGCTGATCAAGCCTCCAGAGGGGCTCCGCAATTTCAGGGTGTGGTACACGGAGCGGCGCAATACTGCGGCCTTGGTAGCACATTGAACATCATTGCACACCACACGACACACCAGAGTAGCTAAGCTAGGGCCGTAGCTGATCGCGTGGGGCCTCACGAAGCTGTAACAGGATGAACGTGGAAGACGCCGCCGACCAGCTTTATCGAGGCAAGGTTATCCTGGCACCCATGGTCCGTGCGGTAAGAACGCCATTTTTTCCTCCTGTGGGGGCGAGAATCTCCGCGTTACTTTCTGTCGTCTCGCTGGGAGTATAGACACTTTGGCGCACGGTGCGTCGACCTTGCTTTTGTAGTCACTCGATAGTCATCACTCTCCTTCTGAAGATCCTAAAGTGACCGTGGTTATGTTCATGGTGTGTGGATTTTCGATTGGAACACAGTACCAGTGATTTTTGGTCGGCAGGATACAATTTTTCGACCACCATGGATGCATACCATAAAGTACTCTGGACAAGAGCGCCGTGGTGAGCCAGCCAGTAAGGCACGCGGTACACGTACTGGCTGTCAGCTGTACCGTGTTACAAGGGTCGGCCCGTTCGTTTAAACAGTTTTATTGTGTGCGTGACAGTGTTAGAGAGCGCAGAACACAGCCCTTTTGAGAAGAAACACCACAATAATGCTCATGTTAACCCTTTTGAGTCTTCAGGCGTTCTCACTGATCATTGATTGATCATTTGCAAATGCTGGTGTAGTGGCTAGTCGTGGAGTTGCCGCCCTGCAGCCCTTCGCGCCGTGTATTGGCAAGTCCATAGGTAGGTGTGTCTAGATTATTAGCACCCGCGCTAACCGGCTGACCAATGAAGAGACTTCAGTGACAGCGGGTAATATCAAGGTCTCGGGAATGGGAATGGGGCTAATCAATGCCAAATCATGAATCTCTCAACGTATGCACATGTCAATGAACGCGTGTGTGCATACATACATACATACATATGTGTTCTTTCGCAGCACCACGCATACACTCGCCCGAACGTAGGAAGCCACTGCTGCAAAGAGCAAAGGGCAGCAAAAGGGAGGGGTATTGCAATCCCTGCCGAAGCCCAGATATCGAGGATATCGTGGTTCCCAACAATTTGAAAATCGTTCCCAAGATCCAGCAGTCATTGTCAGCAGCTACAACGAACGCTACAACAACACTACTACTACTGCTGTAGACGAGTAAAACATATCAGCAACACATCCACACTCGTAGCGCCACACATACTACCCTCGCCCGAACCTAGGAAACCACGAGGTACAGGTGTGTGCTGGTGGATGTGCTTGTTGTTTGAAAAACACAGGAACTCTAGAGAGCTGGCAGGGCACATTTCGGGGGGGGACAGAGAACAGAGAAGTACAGAAGTACAAATACCAGCTGGATCTTCACTGATCATTTGGCCCTCTCTGGACTGATCATTTACAATATACCGAAAATAGAATAGTTGAGGCAGCTAGACGACTGATCATTTCAAAGTCTACACAGCTAACCTGCCCTACTGACCGCAGCGCGACCACCCATCAACCCTTCTACGACCCTGTCTGTGGCCACCACCCTGTCGCCAGCTTCTCTCATGGCCTACAGGTGGAGATAGCTGTTGCGTGTGCAGAAGTACACTGGTGTCTTCCTCTGCACTTCTCTCTCTCCCGCTCGCTCTCGCTCTCATTTTTTTTTTTGGCGCAAAAACAAATCTGACAGTCCAGCCTAGACCCAAAGGGGTTAATGCATACGCCGCGAGATATGCAGTATACTGGTCGACAATCTGAGCGTTCAACAGCGGTCCTAGATAAAGAAGGTCTTCATAGGGATGTCCAGAAAGCAGCCTTTTGCCCGTAAGATTGAATAACGCCGGCCGGTGGAAGTTCGCCCTCACATGCGGCAGATAGCGACCTTCCGTCCCCACTACTGCTGTACAGTTACGAGCGCAGCGATTTCACCCACGTGCCGCTGTGTGTGTACTTGAAACGTAGGTCAACACACCTTTACGTACAGGAACGGGTTAGTCTAGACTACTGAGTTGGTGAAAGGCTACCACTTGGAGCGCCTCTACGTGCGTTGGTAGTTGAGTTCCGCTTGCCGCTAACCCCCCACCCGCCCCCACTCCCCCCTGTATGGCAGGGCACGCTGCCTTTCCGTGCCCTCGCCCTACGCTACGGGGCGGACACGGTATTCACGGAGGAGGTCATCGACCGTCGTGTCGTCAACGCCGTCAGGACGGAGAACCCGGTGCTCGGCACCGTGGACTACGTGGAGAAGAGGGGCAAGAAGGGAATCGCGACGCCGTTCCAGACGTGTCCCGCGCTCGAGCGCGGTCGATTGGTGTACCAGATAGGGACGGGCGACGCCACCAACGCGCTGCGCGCGGCCCAGGTATACCGACGGCTCCCTGCTGTTCACAAACTGGTAGATGTTTTTTGCTGTGGCGTCCTATTGTTTTTGTCAACCAGGTAATGGAAGTGCCTGCTGCATGGAGGCGACAATAAGTGGGCTTTTTTCCACAGCCAGTTGTTCGCTACTGGCAATTTCTGTCCAGACGCAGCTCCTATTGCAGAGCGGCTGATTCGCTGTACATGACGCCTTGGGCATGAGGTGACGATGCCATTGATGCCGTTACTGCACTCGACTCGGTTGATTGCCCGTCGCCTTCACCGTGCTGACGGAATCCTAAACACCTCGGTCTCGCCCTTCCTCTTGTCCCTCGTGCCCCCCATGCGCGCAGCACGTAGAGCGAGACGTAGCGGCCGTTGACATCAACATGGGATGCCCGAAGAGGTTCTCGCTGCAGGGCGGCATGGGAGCGGCGCTGCTCAAACAACCCCAAGTCGCGGCGGATATTGTGGGGTAAGCCGGGGTCTGCTCAAAAACGGCAGTTGTCAGACTGGAAGAACGAAGGGGACGATGGATGAGCTGCGCTATGTTCTCAAACAAAGTGGACCGAAACCGAGGCGATTCCGTCTCGCGATTCCATTCCGTCCCCGCGGCCATCACCGCCGGAAACCGGTTTACCGATGACGTCGCTTGGTTGCAATACGTTCGGAAGTTCCACACGCTCGTTGAAAGCATTCAACGCCACCGTCCCAATCTCCTCCGAGAGAAGGAGGCTTTCAGTCGACTACATGCTGTAGCGTACGTTTGTTTTCCCATGTAACGTGTTGTACACGGTTCGATTTCCGAGCGGACGCCGGCATCTCGGAGACCCGTGTTCGGCCCTGTTGTCGTCTGGCACGACAGTCGTTTTGTCTCAGTAGCGTTCGCGAGGATATTACTGTATAAGCTTGATCTTTTGGTATCCGTTATAGGTGTGGGTTGGGGGTTAGGATTAACGTTAGGCCTATTCATAGAATAATCTCTTCTGATCCTCGCGTAAGCGGTCCTTTTTTCTTACATGTGGGGGGGGTTCCGTGCGGCATGTTTCAGGGGCGGTACATACGCCCGTCTGGGAGTCCACGCACGTGCGCGTCTTGTGTGTCGGCGGTGCTTCGGAACTACGCGGCGTGCCGCCTGTGGTGTGCCGCTCCGAACGAAAAGCTCTCGTCGCATGGCCGCCAAAAAAACACTGAATGAAATCGGTTTGCTTTCCGACGGCAACGTGATCACATGTCAAAGGACCCTGAGGAGAAACCTGTCGGTGCCCGTGAGCGTCAAGATCCGCCTGCTGGAGACCCCCGGCGAAACGGTGGAATTCGCGAGGAGGATGGAGAAGGCGGGGGCTTGCGCCCTGTCCGTGCACGTTAGGTAAGCAGGCTCTCCGGAGGGGACACGACACGAGATAAACCTGTGGGTGATGGTGGTTGCTGTCGAGGTATACGAAAGAAATCTGCCTGTCGACGATTGGGCCAAGAGTAGAGTGACTGCCCAGTTCCCCGCTCGCGTCCACGTGGCGGGAGCATTTCCAGGACAACGCGTGCAGCTTCTCTGGCGCGTGTGCGCGTTTCGGTTCGCGATATGAGGGGAGGGGATAGGCAACGGTTTTGAGGGGAGGGGGGGCGCATCAAGGCTGTGCGGCGGACAGACAGAAACGGCGCCAGCATATTGCATGCGTGTGTTCCGTGTTGTCGACGAAGAGGTCTCGTTGTTGACGCTTGACGCTTACCCTATAGTACTGATGCTGCTGCTGCTGCTGCTGCTGTTGTGGTGTTCCGCACGACTTGCGCCGACACCGCATGGCGTGGAACGCGCGACGATCATCGTCAAACACCCGGTTTCGAATACGCGTACCACATACTACCAGTGTACCCGCGCGCGCACCCAAACGCCTGATCGTTTGTGTGGTCAGGGAGGTTTTTACCGCCATCCGAATTTGTTCGCTGTTATTTCTCGACGACCCCGTGTTTGATTTCTTCCTCTTCGCTGGTTTGATTCATTTTTTTCGCAACCCGACAGGAAGGTTGGAGATACTCCAGCATCTAAAGCCCGGTGGGAGGAGCTTCGACCTGTCGTGGACGTGAGTGCATGTCTTCCCTTGGCTCTCGAAAGTATTTTTTATTGCTTGGCATACCTCCGCATGACACGTTTGTTGCGTCTTCCTTTTGCCCGGCACGCGTAAGTGTTTTACTGGACACGCACATTACCGCGGGCGTCCTTGTGCGGGATCATCTGGATCGGAGATGGCGTGTCTCATCCATTCCCTTTCCCCTTACGTTTGTTCCACGAAACACACGCTCACCTTCGGCTGCTACCTCGGGCTTCCTCCTGCGGTATCAAAAACAACAACAACAACAACAACAACAACAACAACAAACAAACAAAAGGCGGTCAATATCCCCGTGATTGCCAACGGGGACGTGTACACGAGGGCGGACATGGCGGGCATCAAAGCCCTGAGCGGATGCAGGTGGGAGGCGAAAATTTTGTATCGTGGCTATTGGCGGGGCTGTCTTCGTGTGCGGGTGCTGCATTCACGCTGTCACCATCTATTTTGATGGTATATTCTACGACGCTGTAGAAGTAGGCAGTCAGGAGGGTCGTGGTGTACTTCTCTGGTGGAAATGGAGTTCCCCGAAACATGCAAGGCTTGTATTATAGTAGCCCAACAACAAAAGGGGGTGGGTGGGGGAGGGGCAGAGGACGACAGCACGGCGTACGCGCCGGGCCACAGCAGCCCCAAGGAGTTGTGGAAGAAGTTGGCACCGCCGTACACCGAAGTTGGCATGAATCTCTGCCTGCCGTGCTTTGGAATTGCTTTGAACGCGTGTCAGGAACAAGCGGTGGAGCTTACAAACAGCCCAAGTCATATTCTTGGGGGAGAATGGGGCAGTACCTATTGAGCATATCCACGTTTGATACGCCGACGACGGTGCTGCACTTACACCCAGTAAGGAGGACGTAGGTGTTGATTTTTGTCTTTTTTTCTTCTCCCTTCAGCGACACATTTCCTTAACGTCTGCTCCTTATCCGCCGTTCTCGCTATTTTTGGGGGCGTTGCTACGGTGGGCGGAAAATTCCGTGCCAGCTCGGTGATGCTGGCGCGACCGGCCCTGCTGAACTGCTCCATCTTCAAGCCCGATGGACACGTGCTGCCGCTGAAAGAGGTCAGTGTACCTCGAGATGAGAGCCTGCAGGACCCGCACCGTGCCCCACGGCACGTACGACTTTAGTGGAACTCCTGCTCTGCCCTGCTTACTCGATGTCCGATGGGCTGGCGGATAGAAGAAGGCGGGGGGAACACCGCCAAACGAACGCGCGCAGCGCTGTTTAGTTTATTGCTTCTGCCGTACATTTGGGGTTTGGAATGTTTTTTTTCGGTTTCGCGAACGAACGACGGGCGCCAAACCGCGTGTGCGCGCCGCTGTCTGTGCTGGTAGCTGGTGAAACACCCCACGGCTGGTGGAGACCCTCGATGGTTGATACGTCTCTTGTTCGGGGCTGTCGGTTGGGCTGAACAATGCGCCCTTTGTGCGGAAGATTCGGATCAAAACATCGCGATTACTTACCCTTATTGCAGAAACGGCTTAATCAGAAAGTTACTCCACGTGTTCCAGTAGTGCGTTGAACCACGGGACCTGCCAAGAACAGGGCATTAATAACGCTGTGGGCAAATGTGGGAACTATGCACCCCGTTTTCGGATGGAATTTTGTAATTTTTGCGCCTTGCCGGTAAGCAGCAGCTGTTGCGGACCCCCCTCGCTCATCCCACTCGCCCCCTCCGCTAACGATGCCAAAAGGTGCGCCGACTTCCCATGAAACGCCAACCTCTTGCTGATAACCAAACAGGTGATTCAGCAGTACCTGCGGGAGTGCTTTCGGTACGACTCAGTCTACCAGAACGCGAAGTACACCGTGATGGAGATGCTCACCAAGAGAAGGCATCCGGATCACCTCAAGGTGGACTTTCTGTAGAGCTCGTGTAGTCGGTGCAGCGAGGATATTTTGTAGATATAAGTACGGCGATGTTGTCGCTGGGTCAGTCAACCGCCGCGATTCCAAAATTTGCTCGGGTGAGTAAGCCGGTGCCACGATACACTGGATCGATCCTCCCGTAGAAGTGCTCCGTCGCATCTGAGTGCTATGGATTCCTTCGGTGTGATTCTTTGACTTCTTTTCCCTTCCCTGAGTCGTAGGTCGAGCGATCACCTTCCCTGAGTCGAATGCTCGGTGCTCCAATGTTCTTACAATTCATTTTCGTTTCAGCGTTGCCGTTGTTCCTTCTCTCTCAAGTTGCTCCATGTACAGTTCGTCAAGCGCCTCCGCGCCCTTCCTCTCCCTCCTGCCGTCTGCTGGAATCAGGAATCCATCTCCCTGGGCCTGCCCGGGGGTGCTCCTGGCATGCGCGAGGTAACGCCGGCGAAGACGTTGGGGCAGCTGGCGAGGCTTTGGGACGTGGGAGCCGACTTCGATGCGGAAACTGTCAGGTGCGGCACGACCGGAGCCACGCCGTGACTCCCACACACACACACACTCCTACTCTTGCGCTATCTAGTACATCGCCCCCCGCTCTTTGTGTGAATCACGTCGGGAGTCCCCCCCGTCTGCGTTGGTGATTTGTGCCGCGCTGCCTCTTCTTCGTTACCAAGGCGGTCGAGGAAATAGCTGCGTTGAGTTGTGTGCAGAGAGATGGTCTTGTTCACTGGAGGCCTAACATGCGGTGGTGTGCATGCTGCCAATCGGACGGAAGCCGTTCAGGGTAGCGGTGTATTTTCTTGCTCCATCCTTCCACACCATCCCATCCCATCCACCCCGCCCCCCGCCACCCTCCTGACCCCCGATCGCTCAGACGAAGGAAGCGCGCGGAACAGCTTGGCGAGGCTACTTCGATAGAGCAGGCAGAGCGAGGGACTGTCCACAAGTGAGTCGCGACGATTGACCTTCTGCTCTCCTGGCGCCGAGAAGGAACAGGGCAGGGCGGTTGTGTGTTCGAGAGTAGGTGTACCGATTTGGAGCGTAGGGAAACCCCGCCTGATGAGAAGCCTCTATTATTAGTAGTGGTGAGGCCGCTGGTTTGCAAGACGCATGGCGCAGTGTTGCGGCACTAAACCACGACTTCCGTGTGACTCTCTCGTGTACCCCCACGACATAACTGCACAAGAATAATGCTGCGGTATCATGGGGGCTTTTTTGTCATCGTTCTCTGATTGCATTTTTTGTGCGTCCTACGCCTGTTTTTAGTCTACCCTGGCCCCGCTTTGTTCTTGGTGCTGCTGTTTCAACCCGGCAAACACCATCATCGTGTGCAGGTTCGACGACGCGTATTTTCTGGGCACAGAAGAAGCGAGAACAGACAACGCTGTTGGCAGCAAGGCTCGCGACTCGTCGGACGCTCCTGACCCCGACGCTGCGCGAGGCCGGGGCGGTAGGGACCGTGAGAATGGTGGCGGCGGAAGCGGGGGCGCCGGAGCCACCGCTATGGCCGTGGAAAATGGCGATGGCAGCGGAAGCGGCGCCGTGGAAGCCACCGCTATGGCCGTGGAAAATGGCGGTAGTGGAAGCACAGGGGCACCCACCACCACTACCGCGGCGATTGCCCGCTCAACCTGCGCCGGTGGCGGAGATAACTGTGTTGGCGGGGGCCATGGGAGTGGCGACGGAGGAGGGGCGGGCGGAGAAGGGGGAGAAGAGGCGCGCCCTCGAGGGGACGACCGAGCGGGGGTTGGCGAAGCGGGGGGGATCGTGGCGCGATCGGTGGTTGCTGTTGTCGCCACGGCGAGGGAAGCAAGCTGCGGTGGTGGCGGTGATGGCGATAGCGGTGGAGGTGCTGGGACTGGCACAGCAGTAGCAGAAGAAGGGCAGCAACCGCAGCAGCAGAGGAGTGGCAGGGTTGCTTGTTCGGAACGAGGGAGGAGTCATGAGCGAGGAGAAGGAGAAGAAGATGGCAGCTTCTCCGGAGATGGTGTACACGCCGAAGAGGGCCTGCGGCAGGCGCGGGTGTCTTCGAAGCGACCTCGGGAGGAGGAGGAGGAGGAGGAAGAGGCGAGCGCGGTGTTGTAGTAGCAAATAGCTGGCGGGTGGTGTCCATGCGGTTGCATGCGCCGTACGATACAATCACAGAGAGCGCGTCAAGTTTGACCCAAAGCTGCAGCGTTCTTTCTGGGGCGAGTTGGTTTCGACAGGGCCAATTGCATTTTCGTGAGAAGGCCACGACTCTCTCTCCTTGCTAGGGAGAGGTCGAAAGACTGCTAAACAGACTGGTGATGAACAGTGGGTGCAGTGGCCGGGGTTAGGCGACTTGCTTTCAAAATCCAAACTGGTGAAGGCCTGGCCGAGTTGGGTGGTGACAATCTTTCGAGGAGAATTTCCTCTATTGGTATCGCAGCTTGCCTCGGGCAACCGTGCTGGTCCTCCAAGAGATTTTCTTTTTTTTTATAGGTGGTGTAGAGAGCAATATTATTCCTAATATGTTTAATAAACCAGCAAGCTGTCAATAGACACTGCGCCGTGTCCCCTGTGAAGGTTACATTTTACAATACACGACACAACGGAGGGATTCTCCCCGATATTTTGTCGTTGACCCAGTAGAGAACTACAGGGGATGTATTGTAAAATGTAAGTTACCTTACAGATGTTTTTGTACTTAGCACCAGCTGGCATCACTGGTATAAATCATCAGTGTATAGACTTAAAAATACTCGAAATAAGTCCAGTACCCAGCCGGTTTCCCTCCACTCACTGAAAAGACTCCACCACATCCCGTTCGACTGTGGGTATATCTCGAATGGGTAGTCTTTCTGTGTGTGTTTTTATTATTCCTTAAGAGCAGTGAAGAGATGAAGATTCACTAAAAAAAGCAGTGTGATGAATCTTGTTGCATCCTTAGGACGACGGTCAGGGCAAGAAAAAAGCGTTAAGTATATACATAGTGCGGATGGACAACGCCTAGTACCCAGTCTGATGTAGGGGGAACAGACGAGGATATGATTTTCGGTGCTGCGTGCAAAACAACGCGATTTGGGTTGTTACGGAATTGGAGAACAACAGATGTGACAACCCGCATGCCTTGGACGGAGGGAACGCGTGTTTTCCATGTCTTCGCACGTACTGTATCCAAAGGTGCAAGACTGTCCACACAGCACACACACACCACACCCACACACGTAGTTTGGGCTTGCTTGCCGTGAGGTGGATACCAAGGTGGTGCACGGTAGAATGAAAGATCGCCCCGGATCGCGGATGAACGCGGGTGAACATTTACCCGTCGTCGTCGGATCATGCCGAACTTCGTTCATGCTGTCAACATAGACTACAGACTACTGCTTGGGACCGTTTGCTTGGGACCGTTACAAGCACAGCCATGTCTTCAATGCACACCCGCTGGCCAATTGGCATGAACACGCATCCTGCGGCGAGGTGGATATAGGATACGGTATTGTCACGGTTCCGTTTTTGGTGTTGTGGTGTTGTTGTGGGGGGTTGGATACCCCTCCGGGTGTTTGTTGTTTGAGTTTGGGGAAAGAATGAGAGACAGACACTTGCTGTAAGACTGACATACTTTGTGCCAGCCAAACTCCCAATCAATCAAGACCACCCCTGGAAGAGACAACTGTGAGACTGAAACACTTTGTGCCAGCCAAACAATTCCAGGGCCGTCTGCTCTTATCCACGGTGCTCACCTTTGTTTCTATACCCTATCGCTCAAAACTCACCAACATGTTCTGCGCCAACACGACGATGAAACTGGCCAGCCCTTGGTCGCACAACGGGACCGTTTGGTCATGTTCATGCTCAGGCACACCACGGTCTGGGTGATTGCTGCAGGCCATGGCACATTGTGCTGTAAGGTCGAACACCGCTCGCACGACCGTTGGCACGGCAATCGACCTCAATCGGTGACCCCGCAGTCAACCTCAATCGGTGGTCCCACGCAGCACGCTGGCCAGTTTCATCGTGTTGGCGCACACCAAATTGGTGAGTTTTGAGCGATAGGGTATATAGAAACAAGGTGACCACCGTGGATAAGAGCAGACCCTGGAATTGTTTGGCTGGCACAAAGTGTTTTAGTCTTACAGATTTATCTGTCTCGTCCAGCGGTGGTCTTGATTGATTGGGAGTTTGGCTGGCACAAAGTGTTTCAGTCTTACAGCAATGTCTGTCTCTCATTCTTTCCCCAAACTCAAAACAACAAACACCCGGGGGGGGGCAGAACCCTAATGATCCATCTTTATGGGACTTCGGCGTTAAATCACTTGTGAGAA